ATACAACGGAAAATAAAACAAAGTACAACTAATATAACAAATTAACAAAACAAAAACAAAATATAAAATTATAAACATAAAAACAGCAAATATAGTCAAAAATAGAATAAATAAGAGGGAAGGGAAGAGAACAAAACAAGAAGAAAGAGGAGGACTTGAGAAAAATGAAAAGAAGAAAGGACAAAAGGCATGGGAAATTAGAAGGGCAACACAAAGATGAGGGGAAGAAGATATATTAGAAGCATGAGAGAAAGAAGAGACGAAAATCAGATAGAAAACAAGGAGGAGGAGAAGGAAAGCAGAGAAAACATAGACAAAAAAAATCTACAGAGGAGGCAGCAGGCATGGAAATATGTAGGCAAATTTATTTCGAACCGTAATCGGTCTAGAATATATTCAATTGACATCTGGCGCTAAGAATAAAAATTTTGAATGTGGGGAAATTTTTTGGCGGTTTTTCATTTTAGACCATTATTGGTCTGGAAATTGTTAAAAAGTTTAAAATTTTCGTATTTAAAATTTTTGTAGAAAAGGCGACAAAAATATTTAGACCGAAGTTGGTTTGAATAATAAAACCTAAAAAAAACATACAACAATGAAAAATATATTTAAGAAAAAAATTTTTAAAAAAAGAATGTTATATTCAGACTACTGTTGGTTCGAATATGTTTTTCAGACCAATAGTGGTCCGAATATGTGCAGTAAAAAAAATTTTTTTTTTCTTTTTTCCCAAACCGTGCAAGATTCGTTCTACTCCCATTCAAGCAACATGCTTTAAAAGTCTTGAATGTCATAGAATCTACCGTTAACATTAGCAATATGAAACCTACATGTTTGTGGTTTAGGAATGGTGTAGCATAACTTTAAAAGTAATGATCTTAACTCTACATGGTTGTGGTTTTGCAATGATATTGCGTTCCACTATTATGAAGCCATTTTGAGCGACTAACTTATTATGTCATGGTTAGGAGTGACTATGGTAGTGAAGTGCACGCATCTAGTTTGGTAGAAACGGAACCGGGGCTCATTTCAATGGGATTGTCCTTCAATGAAAAAAAATGAAAAAATCTCAGAGCAGAGGCTTCTAGATTTTGTTGCACATATTCAGACCACTATTGGTCCAAATATGTGTAGTAGAATTCTTTTTTTTTTCCCTAAACCATGCAAGAACAAAGCGAAAAAGCTTCTAGATTCTGCTACACATATTTGGCCCACTGTTGGTCCAAATAGGTTTTGTAGACCAATAGTGGTCCGAATATGTGTAGCATAATTCTTTTTTTTTTTTTTTCTTAGACCCCAAACCATGCGCAATTCATTTTAAATAGATCAACATTAACATTTTAAATAAAATAAATATAATTATATAATTATAAAGTAGAAAATA